ACTGTTACATATTATATATAGCGATTTATTTTAGTCTGAGACCTATAGTGAAATCTTCCGGAGAATATTTTTTCCATTAATAAAAACCTCCTAAAATGAAGCCTTGTGGCAGATATTGTCGTTATATTCAAAACAAATATGTGAAATACTAAAAAAATTATTTTCGTTATGTACACAATTTGTAACCGATTTTTCGATAGTAAAAATTATATCTATCGATTTCTGTTAGTCCGCGACCTATAGTGAAATTTTCTGAGGAATAATTTTTCCATTGATTCCAACCTCCTATAATGAAGCCTTGTGGCAGATATTGTCATTATATTCAAAACAAATATGTGATTTATAACCAAAATATTATATTATATTTTTCAGAAGTAAACAGCATATATTCCGATTTGCTATGTTTGGTGGCCCATAGTGAAACACATTGGAGAATATTTTTTCCATTGATACCAACCTCCTAAAATGAAGCCTTGTGTCAGTTATAGACACTAAGTTAGGGGGGTCCTTAAAATAATATTTTCGTTTGGTCCTTTGATTTTTTTTCCTTTTTTCAATTCGCTTTTAATTAATTCACTATATTTTATATATTTTTTTATTATATTCCAACACTGCTCACAATATATATTTTTGAAACTCACTTTTGACGATCGTCTCACTTTATTTTAAATCCCGTATTTATTTATTTTCAAAAATTTTCCGCTTTTTGGATCCTTCCTGTTTGATTAACTCGCGGCGACTGAAAACTGACAAGAAATCGGCAACATTTTGTTACAAAACAACAACGACAACAAAAAGTAACAACAACTAAATTAACAACAACTTGTTGTTGTGAATATCATTGCAGAGCAGTTGAGGTAGTACCAACGGCAGCGGTACCGGCAGCAATTGCTGCTGTTACAGCTTTTATCTACTTGTCTTAAAGATACAATAACAACAACAACATGTGTTGTTGTGATCATTATTTTTTTTTTTTCATTCATAAACAGACATGCATGCTTATTGTAAAACACATTTTTAGTGGCTCTGATTTGAAAATGGTAGACCGAAGGGAGGATAACCATTTAGAGGTCGTAGATCAGTTTTTTTGGTTTGCAAAAAAAATGTAAATAAATAAATAATTCACTATATAATAAATTCTATTATATACATATGTAAATATAATTTAAATGTAAATTACCCGAAGATAATTGAAATTTACAATTCGGTTTTAATTTAGTTTTTGATAAGCATGTTAATGGGTTTATTATTAGCTAATAGGCCATTTACTAGTGGCGTTGTTTCATTAACGAGTAATCTCATACCCCCTAAGTCAATAGAATGGCGGAATCTTACCTTAGAAATCTATCCTACAAAGGAAAGATGATGAAATGTTTGTTTGCATAGTCATGCCTGAAAGTATGCTTTAAAATATTAAATTTAGTAACTGAATAAATTATTGTGGTACATTCCAAAAAAAATATTTTTTATAAAATCCACGCCTTATTTAGGGTGGCGATAGATACCAAGCAACGGCTCTGATTGGCTTAAACATGGCGAAGTCCAGGCTTCGGGTTAGTTGCCCACACTCGGAAACCCCTTCCGACTATGAAATATCAAAGAAAATAAAAACCAAACCCCCCTAATGTTGACGACCCCCTCAAACGTATACAGGCGGAGTTTTCGCTTTGGCGGATGAACTCAATAAGTAAAAAAAAAACGATATTATTGCCTTGCAGGAACTGCAATGAAAAGGGACAGGCGTAAGTATATCTGATTATTACGCACTGTACTATAGCTGACATGAAACGAGACATGAATTTGGCTGCGGATTCACTTCAGTAGATGAGCGAATTGCTATAATCCGCATAAAAGCGAAGTTCTACTACATCAGTCTTATTTGCGCCCATGCTCCGACCGAAGACAAAGATGAGCAGACCAAAGACATATTTTACGAGCGCCTAGAAGCAGCATATGATCGTTGATCCCTGGCCATGACATGCATTTGGCTGCGGATTCATTCCAGTAGATGTAGCGAATTGCTGTAATCCGCATAAAAGTGAAGTTCTTCTACATCAGTCTTTTTTGCGCCCATGCTCCGACCGAAGATAAAGATGAACAGGCCAAAGACATATTTTACGAGAGCCTAGAAGCAGCATATGATCGTTGATCCCTGGCCATGACATTAAAATTCTTATAAGAGATTTTAATGTAAAAAATCGGAAGGGAACTTATCTTTGGTCCCACCGTCGGAAAATTCAGCCTCCACGTAGAAACATCCGACAACGACATGAGGTTGGTTGACCTCGCGGCGGCAACAAAAACATGGTAGTTAGCAGCACCATATTCAAGCATCTCGATATACACAAGGCCACCTGGATTTCTCCTGATCAAGCAACGAGAAATCAAATTGATCATGTCGTGTGATAGACGGAAGGCATTCATCCAGTGTTTTAGACGCCCGATCGATACGAGGAGCGAATATCGATTCGGACCACTACCTTGTAGCAGCCAAGGTTCGCATTCGTCTTAATGTTGCAGCAAAGGTGCGATCTAATACAACACGGAAACTCGATGTCGAGAAGCTGCAAACACAACAGGTAGCCGAGGCCTACCTGTTGTGTTTGTAACTGGCACAAGATCAGCAGTTTGAAGTCGGAAAGGACCTATCGGAGCCCTTCAATACCGAACGAGGATTCAGACAAGGTGACAGTTTGTCGTGTGACCTTTTTAACATCCAACTGGAAAAGGTCATACGAGGCACAAAGGTGAACAGAAATGGCACTCTGTCTACGACACCGACATAATGCGTCGAACTTTGAGAGCGACAACAGCCACCTTTGAACAAATTGAGAAGGACTCAGCCAAAGTGGGTCTGGCAGTAAACGGCGAGAAGACCAAACTGATGGTATCAACGCGCAAGACGTACCAGTTATTCTCGGACATCGACATTGTTAGACGTATTGAGCTGCAGCGACTACGTTGGCTAGGTCATGTTGTGAGAATGGATGAAGATGCCCCAGCTCAGAAGGCATATAAAAGCGAACCAGCTGATGGTTCACGCAGAAGGGGAAGACCAAGAATACGTTGGAAAGATCAAATCGAAGACAACATTGCCGAAAATGGTATTTCAAATTGGAAAAACTGCGCAGAAGACCGACTAGCGTGGAAATCTTTTCTAAGCTCGGCTTATGGAACGAAAGTTCTGTCACAAGCCAGCTAAGTAAGTAAGATACTACCCGCCATGCTGTTATATGGATCTGAAGCATGGGTACTTGCGCAAGCAGATGAGGCAGCTCTTGGGGTGTTTGAAAGAAAAGTTCTCTGAAAGATCTATGGGTAGATTTTGGAGTAGTCCATGTAAAGACGTTTTTGGAATCGCTCATGGCCCTTTGGGCAAGGTTCTTGTTTATGAAATAAATTGAATTGAGCTTTACAATTTATTTATTTACAATTTACAATTTATTCGCAGACATCGACATAGTCAGTCGTATTGAGCTGCAGCAACTACGTTGGCTAGGTCATGTTGTGAGAATGGATGAAGATGCCCCCGGCCCAGAAGGCATATAAAAGCGAACCAGCTGATGGTTCACGCAGAAGTGGAAGGCCAAGAATACGTTGGAAAGATCAAGTCGAATACAACATCGCCGAAAATGGTTTTTCAAATTGGAAAAACTGCACAAAAGACCGACGCACCTGGAAATCTTTTCTAAGCTCGGCCTATGGAACGAAAGTTCTGCCACAAGCCAGCTAAGTAAGTGCCACCATAAATAAAACGAATGACATACGTTTTGAAATTCGGAGAAGGATTGTGATGGCCAACAAATGCTACTATGGTCTAAGTAAGCGGTTTAGAAACAAGGCCACCTCCCGACCACATCATTGGAAAGCGCCTCTCTGCATCCGAACTATGCGAATGTGGCTTCCAGGAGATATAGTAGAATAGAGCGAACTCTCCCCTACAATCCGAACTAGGCGAATGAGGCTCCTGGAAGATATGCAGAGAAGATTTCCCCATTGGGCTCCGAAGAGCGGCAAATTAAAGTGGTTAATTGTAATGCTATAGAAGGGGAAACAATGTATCGAACATATGCATTGCCGTAATCGATGTATCGAACTTATACACTACCCGTGCTGTTATATGGATCTGAAGCATGGGTACTTGCGCAAGTAGATGAGGCAGCTCTTGGGGCGTTTGAAAGACAAATTCTCCGAAAGATCTACGGGCCGATCTGTGTCGAATATTGGCATCGAATGAACCACGAGCTTAACAATTTATACGCGGACATCGACATAGTCAGTCGTATTGAGCTGCAGCGAATACGGTGGCTAGGCCATGTTGTGCGAAAGAAAGAGAATGATCCTTGAAAAATATTCTTTAATAAATCCACGCCTCAGTTGGACCTTGAAAAATATTCTTTAATAAATCCACGCCTCAGTTGGCCCTTGAAAAATATTCTTTAATAAATCCACGCCTCAGTTGGACCTTGAAAAATATTCTTTAATAAATCCACGCCTCAGTTGGACCTTGAAAAATATTCTTTAATAAATCCACGCCTCAGTTGGACCTTGAAAAATATTCTTTAATAAATCCACGCCTCAGTTGGACCTTGAAAAATATTCTTTAATAAATCCACGCCTCAGTTGGACCTTGAAAAATATTCTTTAATAAATCCACGCCTCAGTTCGACCTTGAAAGGCATATAAAAGCGAGCCTTCTGATGGTTCCCGTAGAAGGGGAAGGCCAGGAATCAGATGGAAAGACCAAGTAGAAAACAATATCTTGGAACGTGGTCTTTCAAATTGGAGGAGATCTGGACAAGACCGAAGCGCTTGGAAATCTGGATTTAAAAACAATTTTTATTTTTTTTTTTAATTTTTTTAAATATTTTTTTTAATAATTTTTATTAAAATTAATTTTTAACTAAATTAAAAATATACAGATTTTCCTTAAAATCTATTTACAATATTTTTTTCTAGTTAATACTTTTCTCAAAAAAAAATTTTTTTTTGAAATATGCTTAAACAAAAAATTGCCTCAAGACTATTAGGAATCCTGCCAGTCCCAGTAACTGCAAATTAAATTCCACTCTCGTCCCACCATTACCCTCTAAAACGTCCTCCCACCAGGTCCATTCATAATTGAAATCTGCCGGATTACAACGATAATCAGCTGGTTTATTATTGATCGCGTGGGCATGCTCCCTAAAGTATGCAATACGTTCCAGAATATTCGCAAAGATTGTGGAATTTTTCATTTTCTCATAGAGATTATTTTGTTCGCACGGGTCGACATCCAAATCGAAAAGGCAGGGAGACTCCAAGGGGTTACAGGCCACACCCTGGGTGGCATCCTCATATTGACACCTAACCGTGGCATGTTCGCGATGCTCCAACAGCTGTATGGGTTTATCGCCGGTAATGGCATGCAAATGTTTCCAAACGGGGGATTGCTTGACCAACTCCTCGTAGTGCTCAAATCTGGGATCAATTTGTGAGCTATCATTGGGACGCTGGGATAGCCATGTGTCAAAGCGACCTTCCAGGGTGGTACCATTTATGTACTTCCATTTACCCTTGGCATAGACTTCATAATTGAAAATGTCATCAATGTTGTGCATTATTTCACGTTCGACGGACTCATAGCCGTACTTTAGGGATGGCCACAAATTGAGGCCATCAATTTTAAGGGCCTCCAGATCGAGATGGATATTTGCTGCCGACGCCAAGGTGGGTAGGAAGTCACCAATGTAGATTTTCTGCTTCCAAATGGTGCCAAGTTTTTCCAGCTGAGTAGACCAAATGGCGGCCGAGGAGCGTAGGCCACCCTCCCAGGGGGAATGTTTTTGCTGAGGAGGAAAATCACGACCAAAAATTAATTAAAAAAAATTAAAATTAAATTAAAAACCAGTAAGGAAAGTAGTAAAGTCGGACGGGGCCGACTATATGATACCCTTCACCACTATGGATATATTAAACAGGACTATTAACATGAAATTGGATGAAATAAAATATGTGATATTTATCTAAATGTGAATCTACCTATATATCCATAAGTTATATAAATCGACTTCAATCAAATATAAATAGGTTATCTGTTGGGCTATGTCTGTACTTCTAGAAAACGCAACTACGTAATTCTATGCTCAATTTTGTACGTTGTGCAAAATTTGATGTCAACCTGACTAGCATGAAGAGTTTGATGTCCAATTTACTTAAAATCGGGCGAAAATATATATGGAAGCTCTATCCAAATATATCGAAGGATATATAGGGACTTTGGCGCACCATTTACATGAAATCGGACGAAACTATATCTGAATCTGGGCCGATTTTCTCGAAACTGGGCAGACATCATTCTAGGCTCAAATCAGTACGTTATGCCAAATTTTCTTGCAAATCGAAAGATATATAGGGACTTTGGGGCACCATTAACATGAAATCGGACGAAACTATATATGGGAGCTATATCTAAATCTGGACCGATTTTCGCGAAACTGGGCAGACATCATTCTAGCCTCAATTCAGTACGTTATGCCAAATTTCATGCAAATCGAAAGATATATAAGGACTTTGGTACACCATTTACCTTAAATCGGAGGAAGATATATACGGGAGCTATATCTAAATCTGAACCGATTTTCACGAAACTTTGCACACATCATTCTAGACTTAATTCAGTGCGCTATGCCAAATTTCGTGCAAATCGAAAGATATATAGGGACTTTGGTACGCCATTTACCAAAATATATATATATATATATATATGGGAGCTATATCTAAATCTGAACCGATTTTCACGAAACTTTGCACAAATCATTCTAGACTTAATTCAGTGCGCTATGCCAAATTTCGTGCAAATCGAAAGATATATAGGGACTTTGGTACGCCATTTACCAAAAATCGGCCGAAACTATATATGGGAGCTATATCTAAATCTGAACCGATTTTCACGAAACTTGGCACACATCTTTCGTGGCTCAATTCAGTACTCTATGCCAAATTTCGTGCAAATCGAAAGATTTTCAGGGTCTAAAGTCCGTAAATCGGGCGAAACTATATATGGGAGCTATATATAAATCTGAACCGATTTTCACGAAACTTGGCACACATCTTTCGTGGCTCAATTCAGTACGCTATGCCAAATTTCGTGCAAATCGAAAGATTTTCAGGGTCTAAAGTCCGTAAATCGGGCAAAAATATATATGGGAGCTATATCTAAATCTGAACCGATTTTTCCCAATTTCAATAGGGTTCGTCCTTGGGCCAAACAAATGAGCTGTGCCAAATTTCATCCAAATCGGATCATAAATGCGACCTGTACTTTGTTTACAATTTAACATGGACAGACGGACGGACATGCATAAATCGATTCGGAAAGTGATTCTATGCATATTCTCAAAAGGAACCATGGGTCTATCTCGATTATTTTTGCCTGTTACAAACATATGCACAAAGACATAATACCCTGTACCACAGTGTGGTGAAGGGTATAAAAATGTTTCCAAAAAAATTATTTAAAAAAAATATTTTTTAAGATTAAAAAATATTTTTTCAAAAAAAAAATTTTTTCAAAAAAAAATTATTTAAAAAAAATGTTTTCAAAAAAAAAAAAAATATTAAAAAAAAATTTTATAAATTATTTTTTTTTCGAAAAAGAAATTATTTTTTTTAAAAAGAAAATATTTTTTAAGATTAAAAAATATTTTTTTAAATTATTTTTAAAAAATTTAAAAAATATCTTAAAAATCAAATTTTTTTAAATTAAAAAAATATTTTTTTTTAAATATTTTTTTTTTGAAAAATAATTTAAAAAAAAAAATTTAAAAAAAATAAATAAAAAAATAAAATAAAAATAAATAAAATAATAATATTTAAAAAAATATTTAAAAATTATTTTCAAAAAAAAATATTTAAAAAAAATATTTTTTTAATTTTTTTTTTGAAAAAAAATATTAAAAAAAAAATAATTAAAAAAAAAAATCTTAAAAATCAATTTTCTAAATTAAATAAAAAATTCAAAATTGTTCCTTACCCCCCTCAGCGGATAATTCGACGCCGTTGTCGAATGCATACCCTGTGTCGGGCCACCATTGTCGGACAAAAACAACAATATGGTATTGTTCAGAATACCCCGATGACTCAAGGCTTCCACCACCTGGCCCACACTTTCATCCATTTTCGATACCATGGCGGCATATTTCCGCCTTCGTTCATCTTTAATATATGCGAATTTCGCAATTTCCGATTCAGGAGCTTGGAGAGGGTCTTCATCATTTCCCGAATGCGGAGCCAAATGACTTAGCAACATAAACAATGGTTTCTTTTGATAATTATGTTCGAGGATGCGGCGTATGGCAGCCTCTGTAAGGAGATCAGTGACATAGGTACCATTGCGATCGCATACCGGTTTCAAATTGTCACGGAAATCATGGCCCCTGGAATAGTTGGCATTCTGAAACAATCGAAAAAAATTAAAATTTTTTTCTAACCCCAAAAATTCTTCCCTCTTCCTTTGGCTTACCCCCTGATCCAATGTCTGATCATAGTAGCCGACATAGGCCCCCAAATAACCATAATGCTGATCGAAACCCCTAAATGTCGGAGTGTAGGCCTTGCGGGACATACCCAAATGCCATTTGCCTATCAGGGAGGTGTAGTAACCATTTTGTTGGAAAATCTCCGCCATTGTGGTCTCATTGGTGGGTAAACCCCAGGGTTGATCGTTGACCAGAACATAATGTTGCATTCCGGTATTTAGGGGATATTTACCGGTTAGCAGAGCAGCTCTGGAGGGCGTACACATTGATGGTGTATAGAGATTATTGAGAATGACACCACTATAAGCCAAGGCATCAATGTTCGGTGTGAGGAATTCATTTGAGCCACGGAAACTGATGTCATCGAAGCCCTGGAAATATTGAAAAAAAAAATATTTCAAAAAAAAAAATTGAATAAAAATAATTAAAAAATAATCAGAGACCAGAGGCGTGGATTTTTTAAAAAAATATTTTTTCGAAGATCCACAAGGCGTGAATTTTTTAAAAAAAATATTTTTTCGAAAATCCACAAGGCGCGAATTTTTTAAAAAAATATTTTTTCGAATATCCACAAAGCGTGGATTTAAAAAAAAATATTTTTTCGAAGATCCACAAAGCGTGGATTTAAAAAAAAAATATTTTTTCGAAGATCCACAAAGCGTGGATTTTTTAAAAAAATATTTTTTCGAAGATCCACAAAGCGTGGATTTAAAAAAAAATATTTTTTCGAAGATCCACAAAGCGTAGATTTTTTAAAAAAATATTTTTTCGAAGATCCACAAAGCGTGGATTTTTTAAAAAAATATTTTTTCGAAGATCCACAAAGCGTGGATTTTTTAAAAAAATATTTTTTCGAAGATCCACAAAGCGTGGATTTTTAAAAAAAATATTTTTTCGAAGATCCACAAAGCGTGGATTTTTTAAAAAAAATATTTTTTCGAAGATCCACAAAGCGTGGATTTTTTAAAAAAATATTTTTTCAAAGATCCACAAAGCGTGGATTTTTTAAAAAAATATTTTTTCGAAGATCCACAAAGCGTGGATTTTTTAAAAAAATATTTTTTCGAAGATCCACAAAGCGTGGATTTTTTAAAAAAATATTTTTTCGAAGATCCACAAAGCGTGGATTTTTAAAAAAAAATATTTTTTCGAAGATCCACAAAGCGTGGATTTTTTAAAAAATATTTTTTCGAAGATCCACAAAGCGTGGATTTTTTAAAAAAATATTTTTTCAATGATCCACAAAGCGTGGATTTTTTAAAAAAAATATTTTTTCAATGATCCACAAAGCGTGGATTTTTTAAAAAAATATTTTTTCGAGGATCCACAAAGCGTGGATTTTTTAAATAAATATTTTTTCGAAGATCCACAAAGCGTGGATTTTTTAAAAAAATATGTTTTCGAAGATCCACAAAGCGTGGATTTTTTAAAAAAATATTTTTTCGAAGATCCACAAAGCGTGGATTTTTTAAAAAAATATTTTTTCGAAGATCCACAAAGCGTGGATTTTTTAAAAAAATATTTTTTCGAAGATCCACAAAGCGTGGATTTTTTAAAAAAATATTTTTTCGAAGATCCACAAAGCGTGGATTTTTAAAAAAATATTTTTTTGAAGATCCACAAAGCGTGGATTTTTTAAAAAGATATTTTTTTGAAGATCCACAAAGCGTGGATTTTTTAAAAAAATATTTTTTTGAAGATCCACAAAGCGTGGATTTTTTAAAAAAATATATTTTTTTATTTTCTCATATCTCCCCCAATACTCACCATATCATCAGCCATAATAATTACAATATTTGGTTTTGAATTCATATCCCAGTTGGTGGCCTGCTCTGCAGAGACCATTCCGATAGCAGCCAGCACCAGTGCTGGCAGATAAAATCGATACATATTTTTTTTCTGAGTGTTTTTATTCTATTTCGAATTTCACAAGAAATTTATTCAAATTGGGCAGCCAATGGGTCTTTGTTAGATGGCGCCTGAAATTAGAAAAAATCAACAACAACAAAATCATCAGCAAAAAATAACAAAAATAAAAAGTTTAGCAACAAAAATCACAAAATTGTTAATATAATTAAGTCACGTTTGAGACCGTCCGTCTGTGTGCTGCTGATGCTGTATGAGACTCTGTCGGGTTGTCGATAGATTTGTTTACACATCATTATAATAATTTGCTTAAATATTTACTTTTGTACAAACAAAAAAACAACAAAGTTTGTTAACGGTAGTTGTCGTTTTTGCTAATTTATTAGCAACGCTAATAAATTTTTGTTGAAACTGGGGGTAATAAAAATTTATTTTTTTCCTAAAGATTTTCCTTTTTTATTTTTCAAAAAAAAAAAAAAAAAAAGAAAAACAAAAAAATATTTTTTTCCTATTTTTCTAGGCCTTTAAATAAGGCATCTCCTTTAAATAAAGCTTTTCTCTTAAAATTCTCTTCTTTACAGTCCCCAAATGTTTTCTCTTTCCTCTCTTAGTCTTACAATTACCAAGTTCCGTTACCGTAACGGAGTGTTACAATGTTACACTACTACTGTAACAGAGTTACAGTAACAATGACACTCCCCCTCTGAATGATTGTTATGCCTAACGCAAAGAGAGTTGAAGCAAAGAGTAATTTAAGAGATCTAGTTATGAAAATAATTGTTGTGCTCTTTTCTCAAACAAACCGATTGAGAATTCTAAAATGGTTAATTACGAAACGATTAATTGCCAATAGCCATTGTTTTCAATTTTCAATGGGGTTTGGTGTTTATTGTTTATAAAAACAACAAAATTAACCCGAAAACAATTTAATTTTAACAAAATAAATGGAAAAACAAAAGAAGCGGAAAATTTGGATCAGTGGAGAAAAACAAAGAAATTAAATAATAGGAGAAATAAATAATAGGAGCGAAAAAAACTATAAAAAATAGATTTTTTTATAAAAAAAATAAATTTTATAACAATTCAGCCAGCTGAATTGTAAAAGAATCGCATTTTATAACAATTCAGCTAGCTGAATTGTAGAAAAACCAAAATTTTCCAACAATTCAGATTAAGTTTTAAAACCATTTCCACAGCTGAATTGTAAGAAAATTATATTTTCAAACAATTCAGCTAGCTGAAATGTAACAAATTGGAATTTTATAACAATTCAGCTAGCTGAATTGTAGAAAAATCATATTGCACTATAATTCAGCTAGCTGAATTGTAAAAAAATTGTATTTTACGACAATTCAGCTCGCTGAATTGTATAACAATCACATCCTACTACAATTCAGCCAGTTGAATTGCAATAAAATTTAATTTTGTATCAATTTAACTAGCTGAATTGTACAAAAATGTGATATTCAAACAATTCCACAAGATGAATTGTAAAAAAAAAATAATTTTATTACATTTCACATACCTGAATTGCATTAAAATGTACTAAAATTGCAATTCAGCTGGCTGAATTTTAGAAAAATTCAATTCAGCCGGCTGAATACTGAGAAAAATACATTTTGTAACAATTCAGCCAGCTGAATAGAAGAAAAAATTGATTTTGTAACAGTTTAGCCAGCTGAATAGAAGAAAAATTTGATTTTGTAACCATTCAGCCAACTGAATTGCATAAATATAATATTTTACAATAGTATAGCTAGCTGAATAGTATCAAAATTATCCGAAACACCAATTCAGCTGACTGGAATATAGAAAACATGCATTTTATAATAATTCAGCTAGCTGAATTGTAAGAAAAATTAAATTTTTTTAACAATTCAAACAGCTGAACTCTAAGAAGTATATTTTTCAACCACTCAGTAAGCTGAAATGTGGAGAAATTACATTATGTAAAAATTCTTCCAGCTGAGTTAAAGAAAAATTACGTTTTACAACAATTCAGCTGGCTGAATTGCGACGAAATGCAATTTTTTATCAATTTAGCTTGCTGAATTGCAGAAAAATGGAATTTTAAGCTAATTCAGCTAGCTTAATAGCAGAAAAACTGAGTTTTAAAACTATTTAGCAAGCTGAATTGTAACATAAGCCATTTTTATGACAATTCAACTAGTTGAATTGCAGAAAAACAGCATATAAAAAGTATTCAGCTAGCTGAATTGTAACAAAATTCCGTTTTACTTAAATTTAGCTAGTTGGATTCTTACAAAATGCCTTTTCATCGCAATTCAGCTAGCTGAATTACAAAAATACTATATATTGGAAGTATTCAGGTAGCTGAATTGCAGTAAAAATAAATTTTCGAACAATTCAGCTAGCTGAATTGCAGAAAAAATACATTTTACAACAATTCAGCTAGCTGAATTGCAGAAAAAATACATTTTACAACAATTCAGCTAGCTGAATTGCAAAAAAATGTTTTTTAAGAGAATTCAGCTAGCTGAATTGTAATAAAAATTTTAATATTTGCACATTTCACATTATTTTTTATTAATTAATTTATCTTCTTTATAACAAATTGACGTCAATTACATTAAAGAGTGTTTAATGACACCATTACACCAAAAAATAGATCCTATCTTCAAATGATCCGAAACAAAACAACCGAACGTAACTGGAAAACCCTTTTCATGTGTAACAACAATAATATTAAAAAAATTAATATTAAAAAAAATACAAAAAAAAAATAAAAAAAATTAAATAAAAAATATATTTTTGTTAATTTAATTGCGGGTGTGCATGGCGGGCATTTTTAATTTTTTTAACAACAAGAAATTGCTTTTGTTGTTGTTGTTTTTTAAATGTGTCACCACCGCCATTACCGGTGTCGTTGCATTGACGTCTTTATTTGCCTGAGTGGCTAAGATGTAGAACGTGCTGAATTGGGTTAATAATAACGTAATGTTACAACAACAACAACAATAATGAGATTGTTGTTGTTTTTTATTTTATTATATTGTTTAATTGTTGTTGTTGGAGTTTTTGTTGTAAACAAATAAATAACGTGTACTGCAAAATGGCTAAAACACGTGATGACATATTCTCGGTCTTGTGAGTGTGAATAATTGGGGGATTTTGGAGGAACCATCAGGTTGGTCGAGGCTATGTAGAAACATGGGCGTACATTGAAAATCTTCTCTAAGAAAAATGTTTACACACCAAGATCCCGCAGTGACAAAATAAAGTCACTTCGATTGAAATTGCGCCGATGACCATAAAAATATGCAGAAAGGGCCGGGAACTTTAATAAGGGCTATTTCAAAAGTACGACCGATTTGTGTAATTTTTGATTGGAGGATTTAAGACCTCATGATAACCCCAAATACCAAATTACAGACAATTCGGTTGATAAACGTGTCTGAAATCCGGAAAAGATCGAAAATTAAGGGTCCGATTATATGGGGGCTATATAAAAACGTGGGCCGATATTAAACATTTTTGGTGGGAAGGTCTGGCACCTCATGCGAACGCAAAATACCAATTTATAGTCAATTCGATCCAAAAACGTGTCTGAAATTCGTAAAATATAGAAAATTAGGTGATATTGATATTTTTGGCCGATATTGATATTTTTTTGGTGGGAAGGTTTTGCACCTTATGCGAACGCTAAATATAAAATTATAGACAATTCGGTTGATAAACATGTCTGAAATTCTCAAAATACCGAAAATTAGAGGTACGATTATATGGGGGCTATATCAAAACGTGGGCCGATTTTCATAATTTTTGGTAGGATGATTTGACACCTTATGAGAACCCAAAATACCGAATCCGCAAAATACCGAAAATTAGCGGTCCGATTATATGAAGGCTATATCGAAACATGGACCGATATGGAACATTTTTAGTGGGAAGGTTTGACAGCCTATGCGTACCCAAAATACCATATTATAGACAATTCGGTTGATAGACGTGTCATAAATTCGTAAAATATCGAAAATAAGGTGTCCGATTATATGGAAGCTATATAAAAACATTGCCCGATATTGAAAATTTTTGGTAGGATGATTGAACACCTTATACGAACCCAATATATAAAATTTTAGACAAACCAAAAATTAGGGGTCCGATTATGTGGGGCTATAACAAAAAGTGGGGCGATATTGATACATTTTGGTGCGAAGGTTTGTCACCCAAAATGCTAACCCAAAATACCAAATACTGAAAAAATAGGGGTCCGATACATGGTGGCTACCCCAAAGCTATGGTCCAAATTCATAATTTTTGGTAGGGAGATTTCCAACTCAATGAGAAACAAAAATACCAAATTCCAGCCAATTTGAATGATAGACGAGTCTAAACTCCCCATAATATCGAAATTTTGAGGGTACCCTTACAAGGGGACTATACCCAAAAATCAACCAATATTGATAATTTTTGGTAGGGAGATTCCCCACCCCATGAGAACCCAAAATACCAAATTCCAGCCAATTTGGTTGATAATCGGGTCGAAACTCCCCACAATATCGAAATTTTGAGGGTACCGTATATGTGAGCTACCTCGAAACTATGGTCAATATTGATAGTATTTAGAATGGACAGACATGGCTGAACCAGCATAAAATTTAATTCCGATCAAACAAACTATCCTTTATTTTTATACCCTTCACCACACTGTGGTACAGGGTATTATGTCTTTGTGCATATGTTTGTAACAGGGAAAAGGAAACGAGATAGACACATGGTTCCTTTTGAGAATGTTCATAGAATCACTTTTTAAGTCGATTATTGCATGTCCGTCCGTCTGTCCATGTTAAATTTTAAACAAAGTACAGGTCGCATTTATGATCCAAATTGGATGAAATTTGGCATAGATCATTTATTTGGCCCAAGGACGAACCCTATTGAAATTGGGAAAAATGGGTTCAGATTTAGTTATAGCTCCCATAT